CCTACATCACGCGTCGTGCTGATTGTTCCCGTTTTACAAATGAGGGAAAGGAGGTTGATGTTTTGGGGTCCGACTTCAGGGCGCACCTGAAGAAATTTCTCCTCTCCCCGGCAGGTGAGGGGCCACGTCCAAGAGCCGAGGATGACCGTCCGCTACGCCATCGGGAAGAACACGACGGAGGGGCTCACCCACATGATGTGCATCGAGGGGACGGAGGGTAAGGCTCTCCCTCTTCCCCCGGAATTCCTGGGTGCTTTTGTAGGCTGGCATTGATCTGTTGTCAGACTGAAGGAATGAGCTTTCCGGGGTCAAAGTTCCCTTTGCCAGAAGCGATCTCTGTGGACTGAATGGATCTGACGAAGGATGCTTTGGCTCCCAAAAGCTCACCCCCCCCCCCAAATCTTAGAATCATAGAGTTGGAAGCAGAGTTCCCTCTAAGCCGAGTTAGTGTGAGCTAGCTCACAGTTTTTTAGCCTCCGGCTCACACATTTTTGTCTCAGCTCAAGAAGGATGGCTCCAGAGCAAACTAATTTAGCTGTCCCATTGTTGACATAGGAACCTCAGAAGAGCCCCACAGGATCAGACCAGTGAGGGTCCATCCAGTCCAACCTCATGTCTCACACAGTGGCCAACCAGTTCCTCTGGAGGGCCAGCAACAGGGCAGAGAGGCCGAGGCCTTCCCCTGCTAAGAACCTCAGAAGAGCCCCGCTGGATCAGACCGGTGAGGGTACCTCTAGCCCAGCTTTCTGTCTCACACAGTGGCCAACCAGTTCCTCTGGAGGGCCAGCAACAGGGCAGAGAGGCCGAGGCCTTTATAAGAACACCAGCCCTGCTGGATCAGACCAGTGCGGGTCCATCCTCACACAGTGGCCAGCCAGTTCATCTGGAAGGCCAGCAACAGGCCCTAGAGGCCGAGGCCTTCCCCGATGTTGCCTCCTGGCTCTCGGATTCAGAGGTTTAGTGCCTCTGAATGTGGAGGTTCCTCTCAGTCACCATGGATAGTAGCCGTTGATAGACGTATCCTCCCTGAACCTATCTAATCCCCTTTTAAAACATGTCTACCCTCTGAAATTCCTGCCAGCCTAGCAGTTCGAAAGCAAGAAATTGCAAGTAGATAAATAGGTACCACTTCGGTGGGAAGGTAACAGCGTTCCGTGCGCCTTGGTGTTTAGTCATGCCGGCCACATGACCACGGAAACGTCTTCGGACAGCGCTGGCTCTTCGGCTTTGAAACGGAGATGAGCACCGCAACCCTGGAGTCGGATTCGACTGGCTTTCGAGCAAGGGAACCTTTACCTTTACCTTTTACCCTCTGAAATAATCAATACATTGTTCAGGTGGGGTCGCCGTGTTGGTCCGAAGCAGCAGAACAAAGTTTGAGTCCAGTGGCACCTTTAATACCCAAAAAAGTATTATTGTGGGTATAAGCTTTCGTGTGCAGGTACGCTTCTTCAGATAGCATGGGCATGCACACGGCAGCTTATACCTCGGATAAAACCTTGTCGGTCATAAAGGTGCCCCTGGACTCAAACTTTGCTTCATCGACATATCGTATTGTCCAGAAATTTCAGTTCCCACCCAGTCAAAGAGCCACATTTCCATGGTGCAGAGAAGTCAGCTCTGCAAGTCCACTGTGAGTGGATCCACCACGCACCCGGACAGTGGCGTTCGTTTCCGTGGGCGAATCAAGTTTAGGTGCAATACTGTCATGAGCCGGGCTGGAAACTGCGCACGGTTGTACGACACGGGATGCACTTTGCAAGCTCGGTGGGCTTTGGGGGGGGAGCAACTTGGGGGCCCCCCGCATCCCAGTTGTGGGCCTCAGTTGCCAGAAGGTGTTTTGTGCAGAGAGCTGTGTCTTCGGTTGTGGGTCTGCTACGGCAGTTCCCTTTTGCTGTGTGCAGCGTGAGGCTCTGGTCCCCCGTGTGCGTCTTTTGAGTGCTGTTCTGGTGTAACTGTATACTCGCCATAGCAGGCAGCAACAGAGACCAAGCCCGGGTTGTGCCAGCAGAATGCTTCAAAATATCTGGGGAAGTGAGTGCACTGTATAATGGAAAAAATAACAAGACGTAATATCCCCTTCACTCCAGAATTGCTATTGTTAAATATTTTTCCGAGAGAATTTGAGGAAGCTGATAGATACCTGATTGTATACATGTCAACGGCGGCAAGGATCTTATATTCCAAATACTGGAAGATTCAAGAAACACCAACCAAACAGGAATATATTAATAAACTTTTAGAAGCGGCGGGAGTAGATAAATTGACTATGGAAAGGAGAGGCACAAAGAAATGGACATTTCAAAAAACCTGGAAGAGACTATATGATTGGTAGAATGTGAACGGAGTCGAAGACTAAGACGATATGGTAATAATAATATCTGAGTATGTAGTAATATATAATAATGGAACTAGAGAATGCTAACAAATATTAGAGAATATATGAAGCGATGGATTAGGTGTAGTAACAAACTGTAACAAGTCTCTTGGTTTATATGTTGTTTGTTGTAGCTGTTTATGTCTGTGTTTAGGAGTGTAAGAAAATAATAAATGTGTACCCTCGGGTACTTAATTTAAAAAAAAATATCTGGGGAGAGAGCCGGCTGTGCGCCAAGCATTCCCCCTTTTCAAATTTGTTTCCACAGGCTGTGAAAGCCCCAAGCCCTGTCAGTCGGAGCTGATCGTCCTGGAGCATGGGCTGTACAGCGGAGACCCCGTGACCAAAGTGATTCTGCAGCCGCTGACTGGTAAATACACCCCCCCCCCCAATTGATCGCCAGTACCTTTCCTGCAATTCCAAGCCTTTAGCCCTGGTCACCAGCAACGCTCCCTGTAAGCTGCGGAGTCTTGTGAGCAAAAATTCAGCTTTGTGAGCGACTGGCGTTAAAGTTGTGAGCGAGCCATTTGGCGACTGCGTCAGTTAGTTTGCTCTGGAGCCCTCCTCCCTGAGCCAAGACAAAAATGTGTGCGCCAGAGGCTAAAAAAACTGTGAGCTAGCACACACTAACTCAGCTTAGGGGGAACATTGGTCACCAGCCAACCCATCCTTTCCCGCGGCAGTTTGCTGTCTGTTGTCCTACATCTAGCCTACCTCGCAGGGGTGTTGTGAGGATCTACTGTAGGAGAAGAGATATCCATAGCTGCTTTGGAGAAAGGGTATAAACGGCGTGAGTCAATCATGTTGAAGATTTTTGGTGCCTGAAGAATAGCGTTCTTCTCTTTACTCAGGAGTCAGTCTTACTTTTTGCAGTGGGGCCTACACCTGAGTAGGCGCGAGGAGGATCACAGTCCAAGACTGCTTCTCTCTGCCGGAATGTAGTTTGTTTTTGCGGGTCAGTGCAGCATGTAAGAGAAAAAAGAGCACGCTTTAGTTCAAACAGGAAGTGTTTAATTCGAACCAGCGCACGAGTTTTATCACGTTTTTGTCGCGGTCGTCAGCGATTTCAAAATTAGCACAGATGTTCACTCATTAACTATATGGTTGAATCCTGCTGTAATTCCAGCAAATCCTTTATACAAATCAGTGGTATACTTTTGAAACTTGAACCTGAAACATTATTCGGCTTCGATCTAAGATCATACCTTCAGAACACTGATTTAAAATTTGCCTGCAAAGCTATGTATTAATGATACGATTGTGGCCTTAAGAGATGTTTTGTAGAGTGTAAATACAGTTCTCCGGCGTCTTCAGCCTGGACATAGTTACGCATTAATGTTTTTGCTAACCTGTTTTTGTACTTCACCTGCAGACATCTATTGTACTTACCTTGTATTGTTATGAAATCCTTAAATAAAAATTATAAATTGGGGGGGAAAATTCGTATAGATAAAAATGGTCAAAGGTCACTCTCAGTGAACTGGTGGGCAGTGAGGCTCCTTGGGTTGTGGTTGCGGCTGCCGCTGGAGCAATATTTTAAAAATCTGCATGGCCAATCAGATCTCCCTTGGCTGTTGAGAAGCCCCCCAGGCAAAGACGTCACCAGACCCTGCCCACTTTGTAAAAACCCTTGGCGAGCACAGAGAACAGTGTTGGTGGGCGCAACGTTGGGGACCCCTGCTGTACACTGTAAAACAGACCAAGCATTTCAATCGGTGTCATCATGTGTCTGCTAGTTGTCCAAGCACCCCTTGGCCCAGCTCCACATCTGATGTTCTCTCCCTCCCCAGGAAGGACGCACCAGCTCCGCGTCCACTGCAGCGCCGTCGGGCACCCGATCGTCGGCGACTTCACTTACAGCCATAAGCAAGACGGCGGCCCGTACCGGATGATGCTGCACGCCTATTACCTCCGCGTCCCCACCAGTAAGGAGCTCATCGAGGTCAGCGCCCCAGACCCATTCGTCCCCACCCTGGACAGCAACTGGGTCCCTCAGCGGGCGACGTGCCAGCTGGACGAGGTGATCCGGGAGCTGAAAGAATCGAGCGTCCGCACGGCCGAGGGAGAGAGGCGCGACGGCTTGCTGGGGAACCCGGTCCCCGAGATCCCGCGCCACGCCGAGCCCTCAGAAACGGAAGAGCAGCGGGCCGTGTGCGAGCGGTGGCTGGCCGAGTGGACCTTGGAGTGAGACGCCGGGAGCCCCTCGCGCCCTCGCCACCGCTTTTCACCGGTCCGTCTCCGGTGCCGACTCCTGTCTTTGTTCGTAACCCTGGCCTTCCTCCGAATTGATCCCGGAAGATGCATTCCTGGGTCCGACTTGGGTTTCGGTGCCCAGCGGGCTTTTGGAACTCACGTCCCTCACGCCGGCATGCTGTCGTCACTGCACGTGGAAGGTCGCGCACCACGATTGTGCTGTGATGCTGGCACTGAGACTACACTATCGGAGGACACTGCTTGGCTGAGAAGTGGGATTTCTTGGTTTGCCAGAGGGAAGTCTTCAATCACACCTCTCCTTTGCCTCCTGGGATGTTGATTTTTTTAGCAATTTGAGGGGTGGGGGAGTGAAGTTGGACGAACGATGCTCTCTTGCGTTCCTTGGATGTGAAAGAAGAGAGGGGATTAGTGGATTGAACTGAAAAGCTGGAAGAACCGCCCGTCCTGTTTCTTCTCGGGGTTCCTTTCCCTGCCGTTTCCCTCCCCCACGCCCCTTTGACCTTTGCCCTGACTCGCCTTTTGGAAAGCGTTGCCAATCTTAAACCAGTGGGAGTTAATTTATATTTTTAGGGACCGCTTGAGAAAAGAGTAAGAATTTTTTTTACCAGCGCTGCCGTCTTATCCGCCAGCAGGCCCTTTTTCTAGTGATAATATTTTTCTAAGGTGTCGTGGTTTTAAAAAGAGAAGGGTTCCCTCCCTGCGTTTTCTTACGTTTAGGGTTTTAGGGTGAACTTTTAGGAAGCTTAAACGGATGCATGCCGGACTGAGGTTTCAGGGTGTCCCCCCCCCCCCCTCCGCCTGCCTTTTTCCAAAATTCCCTCTAGAACTGATTTTTGCTGTTCTTTGAATCCCGGTTGGTACCTGGAAATGCACATGTTCACGCTGCATAGAACTTCCCATATGGCCAGAGAAGCGGTGGGACATTGTTTGTGCTTCATTTAAGAAGAACCCACAAGGATCTAGTCCTCATGATGAGAAGAGAGTATTAAAGAGAGTATCTGCCAGTTTGGTGTAGTGGTTAAGTGCGTGGACTCTTATCTGGGAGAACCGGGTTTGATTCCCCACTCCTCCACATGCGGCTGCTGGATGACCTTGGGCAAGCCATAGTTCTGTCAGAGGTGTGCTTGAAAAAGACCAGTTTCTGTCAGAGCTCTCTCAGCCCCACCGACCTCACAGGGTGTCTGTTGTGGGGAGGGGAAGGGGAAGGAGTTTGTAAGCCGCTCTGAGACTCTGAGCGAAGGGCGAGGTATAAATCCAATCTCCTCTTCCTCTTCTTCTTCCTCTTCTTCTTCTTCCTCTTCTTCTTTCTCCCCCTCCTCCTGTCACCCAGATTATCCTGCACCTTTGGAATCAGGGCACTGATCCATTCTCGGCTCTCGTGTGCTGACTTGGTGCAGAGGTGCGCTGTGGAGAGGAGAGAGGGCGGAGAGGGTGTGGCTCAGTGGCAGAGGCTCTGCTCGGCATGCAAAAGGTCCCAGGTTCAGTCCCCGACATCTCCAGTTGAAAAGGACCAGGCAGTAGGTGATGGGAAAGACCTCTGCCTGAGACCCTGGAGAGCTGTCAAGAGGGGCTGTGGCTCAGTGGCAGAGCCTCTGCTTGGCATGCAGAAGGTCCCAGGAACAATCCCCAGCAGCATCTCCAGTTAAAAGGACCAGGCAGGAGGTGATGGGAAAGATCTCTGTGCCTGAGACCCTGGAGAGCTGCTGCCAGTCCGAGTAGACAGTACTGACCTTGCTGGACCAATGGCCTGATTCAGTATAAGGCAGCTTTGTGTGAGAATTTCTGTTGCCAATGAAATTTGAAAGGGGCTGAAATGGATGATCAGAGACACCAAAACGTGAGCAGTTTGGGTTAGGGACCAGTTTTATATATGTGTGTTGTGTGTGTGTGTATTGCTCAGACATGCAGTGAGGTCCTCCATGCACTGCTTGCACTAAATATTGACGCTGTAGCGCACTCTCCTAGCTTCACCTGTGGAGGTCCGGATCATGCCGGTCTGTCCAGCTAAGGGCCGTGCTGTCCTCGCGCAGACGGAGCCTTCCACCGACTCAAGATGTGTCAGTAGAAGTTTCCGTGCGTCAGAGGAGAGCGCCGTCCTTAGCGGGGCGGACGTGTGAGACGCGGCCCACGATCACTGCAGCCAAAGCTCAGGAAGTGTCTGCGGCAACCTTGCACCTTAGCGAACGGAACGACCGGGCCACCGGTAGCCCTGCCAAAGCGGAACTGCAAAAGGATGTGGCGGAAGCCGTCCCAATTTACTCTCAGGATACGTAAACCATGGCTCGTTCCATCGCCCCCTGCTCGAACGCCACCCCTGGCCGGCGTCCGGCAAACGCTGTCTTTCGCATGTGACAGAATACATTCCATCGCTGTGAGCTTTGTTCATGATGAGGGATAACTCAAAGTGCTTTTGTGAGCTTGTGAGAAACGCAGCGATCGCCCTGGGGATGAGACGTGATTCCCCCTAGCTTAGTTTGTGGGTAACTCCCACCTGCTTTCCTCCTAGGCTTGGTGGTCTCCCCAGAACACTGTCTTTCATACAGCATTCCTACAAACTCTAGGTTCCTTGGGAAATTATTTGGGTTCCTTAATGAGAAAGTCAGTTCTCAGTGGACCACTTTGCCGGCTTCTGCCACAGCTCTCTAGCAAACCGTGACAAGAGGAACATCCTTCCCCTGGCCATCCCCGGCCTCCGGTATTTCCCAGAATCCTTTGCAACACCTTACAGCTCCATGGTAACGTTGAGGTTCTTAGGCGCTCCGGCCGTTTGTGCTGAAGCTGGGAATATCACTCTTTTATAGATTTTCAAAAAAACAGATCAATACTAATACTAATACATTTCTGTACGTTCATACAAGAATAACCGTCAAAAAGCGATTCCACAGTGTTAAAGATGTTAATCTCTTTTATCGTGACTAGATTATCACTAACGTTAGGAAAGTTTTTTGTTTATTCTTTAAAGAGAGGATCTATCTCAAAATTCTGGAATAGTGATTTTTTATTGCCTGTTTCTATATTTGAAATAAGTAATACATCTGATTTTATTTGTTGTACGCAGGGCTCTTTTTGTAGAAAAAGCCCAGCAGGAACTCATTAGCATAATAGGCCACACCCAACAGCAGGAACTCATTAGCCTATTAGGCCACACCCCTGACAGCACAGCATATTAACATATTAGGCTACACCCCCATGTTACCAGAAGTGTGCTCATCCAGCCACACCCACCTTTTGCTTCTTCTTCTGTTTACCTTGCTTGTTGTCAAAACCCAGGGCTTTTCTTGTAGCAGGAACTCTTTTGCATGTTGGGCCACACACCCCCTAATGTAGCCAATCCTAATGAGTTTCTGCTATTGGGTGTGGCCTGTTATGCTAATGGGTTCCTACTGGGCATGGCCAACTTGGGAGCCAGCCGGAACTCCGTTCCTGTGCGTTCCTGGCCAAAAATAGCCCTGGTTGTACGTAACAACTCATAATATTTGACAAATCTGATGAATTTATATTTCCCCCTACCCCTTCTTCCCTTTTGTAGGCCACCTGTTTTTTTAGACAAAATAATAGAAAATGTAAATAGGGGGGGGGGGGGAGTGATTGCACAATGTTGACAAGCACAGTCCGATGATCTAAAGTTCTTACAAACAATAAATCTTCTTTACCAGGTGTTGGAGCAAGCCCGTCTGCAGATCCGTGACCTTTATGCTATTGGTCTACAATCCATTATCAGTACAAGGAAGACGCAAAGAAGATCGACTGTTTGTAAGAACTTCTAGATTATAGGACTGTGCTTGTCAACACTCTGGAATCACTTTTTGATGATGATTCTTGTATGAATGTTCAGAAATATATTAGCATTAGCATTTTATAGTGATCTGTTTTTGTAACATCTTTTTTTTTTTAATGAACAGTTTTATTTTATACCAGACCTAACAATACCAAAACAAAACACATGGTCGAGATTCTGCAGATGGATTGAAGAGTATAGTAAATGAACTGCCTACACAACCGAACTAGAGGACGACAAGAACACTTACAACAATATGCGCAAAAGTTATTAACAATATAAGGTGTAGACATTTACCCTTGTTTTAGAGATATATGGGAAATTTAACAGATGCTCTATGGATAGATTCTCCCGCTGTATGTTTGTATGTGTATTTGTTTGTTTATGTTTTGGTTTGGTATATTTTTTTCAACATCTATAAAAGAGTGATAGTCCCTTCGTAAATATATCACAGTCGCCATGGACTATTTTCTACTAGCCTTCAGGTGGGCCCTGGGGATCTTCCGCTATTGTGGTCGATCTCCAGATGACAGAGGCCAATTTCCATGGAGGAAATAGCTGTGTTGAAGGGCAGATTCAATGCCATTATGCCCCAGTAAAGTCCTACCCCTCCCAGGTCTCACCCCGTAATCTCCAGGAATTTCCCAACTCCGAGTTGGCACCCCTGTTTGGCCTCTTTCCATAGTCTTTGTCTCATCGCTCTAACTGGAAAGAGAAGCAACTCCCGTCGGGTATCACTGAAATGTCAAAGCACGTGTTTATTTGCCAAGTGCTTGAAAGGTCCCTACAAAGTCCATGGTGGACGGTGAACGTTTTTGGCCGACAGGAATCCCACAGTTAGAAAAGAGCTTTTTCATCAATGGTTTTCACTTCATGGGGGGGGGGGGGCACCCCTTTCAACTTAGCATCCTCTCATCTTTGGCGGAGCCGTGCCAGGGGTGGAAAAGAGGCCCTGTTGTGTGAGAGGGCAGCCTACCTGACTGGACCTTGGTTGTTGTTCCGGCGGTGGGTGAACGCCGCTTCTGCCAAACGACGAACCGTTCCCTCCCGGCACCTCACGGACCAAGCCTCCCCGCATGTTCGAATCCAGAGCATTTGGTACATATATTTTTATGCTTCGATGCAATCTTTCCAAGAAGGATCATAAATATATATATTTTTTCCTTAACCTGAAGTTTTATGAATTGCAGGATGGT